CAGAGAACACGAGGTTCTCCCTGCGGAGGGGAGCTCGTGGGATTCCCGGGCGGTGTGTGGCTCTCCCCGGGCGGGGAAGGCACACGAGAGGCGGGGAAGACGAATCGCCATGCCCGTTGGCAATGGGATTCTGCCCGTGGAAGTTGTTCGGTCCGACTAAGGGGAGTGCCGAGGACGCTTCGAGGTGCGCCGTCCGGCTTGGCAGGGAGCGTACCCTGCCCGTCCGGTGGGGGGGATGGGGTGTGCGACCGATCAAGCTATTTCATTTATTGAGCCTTGTGCGTTATTGGGCTGGACCGCGACGCTGGGCCCAGACCAGAACACTTACCCTTTTCAAATTAAATATATATCTTCTCTCTTTTTATAGTACATATTTCTTAACATCTCTTTTAATAACCGTCATATGATGGTTTATGTATAATTTTATATATAATTTCTTAACATCTCTCATAATCATTCCTTGGAAAATTTTCCGCGTTTGTGTTGTGTTGGTGAATAACTTTTGGTTTGATAGCAAGAACTTTTAACCATGCTAATAACTTTTAGAACTAGACGGATACATCATAATTTTAATATACACGATTGTAGCTTGACATTTTCTATACTTAATGAATTCCCTCTTTCTTGGACCACATAGGTTAAAGTTCAATATTTTAAATTCTGAAATAAATATCAAACTTGATAATTTGTTAGTATATTAAATTTTAATCGAAAGGTTACCTACATATAAAGAAAAAATATATAAGTTTGGTGTAGTCTTTTTTTTCTTCTCAATTAACTCTTTTTTTTGGTATATAATTCTTAAGTTCTCTTTTTAATTAAAATAATAGAACAATTATATTTTTACAATCATAGGCAATAGAAAAATCCGTAAGACGGGCAAGAGGATGCTAGGTAAAAACATATTAGTTGTTTCATGCCTTTGCTTTCCGTTTGTGTTTTGGATGACGGTGTTATTATCGGAGTTTAACATTGTAATCAAGCCTTGAAAAGTCTGTCACATTGGTGTTGTGCTGACAATAAACTGTCGTAAGGAATGGCTTTTGGGTTGTGAGCAAGAACTTTTTACCATGCTAAGAACATTTAGAAGTGGATTGAGACAACATGATTTCAATTTTTTCATTTATTACTAATTTAAAGTTCTGATCTAAGTTTATGCCCTCAAATGTCACTAAATATGTAATATCCCATGTCTTCTTAATTGCTTTGTATTTTGTTAGTCGAGATATATTGAGTTTCTAAATTCTTTATTTCTTGTCAGTTTGGACAAATAGGATAATTAATGAACTCAAACGAGTTTATGTATTATTCGATTCCATTGACATTTATTTATTTGTGAAAGAAATGAATATTTTGATAACATTAATGAATGATCATTTACCTTCTTGAAGAAATATCTCATTTAAAATATTTTCTCTCCTCTCTTTTACTAACCATTTGCCTTTATTAGTAAGAAAGAAGATAAGTTGGGAAAAGAAGAGAATAAGAGAAAGAGAGAAAGAGAGAAAGCTTGCATCAACAAGAATCTCAACTTAATCTCATCACCTTGATTTAGGATGGGTTCCTAGTTAGACATAGATATAGTGAGAAATATCCTTGAATGGGAGATTAGGGGTTTGTGTGTTTTGGATATAATCATGAAATTTGTGTTAATACATAATACTCTAGTTGTCTTCCATGTTTACTTGTGATAATTTATGCTTTTGGTATTGTTTTTGTGTGATATGTTATGATTTGAGGTTGTTATTGCTTGTTCCTTCTTCCTGTTACGTTTTGTTACTGGTTCTGTTCTTGATTTCTCGCTAGGCGAGGGAACGACTCACTAAGCGAGCGCATCAGTTCCCATGTAGAAATTGTTTTGCAACGCTCACTAGGTGAGAACATGTCTCGCAAGGCGAGATGGGTGATTTTAGAAGGAAATGTAATTATGGAATCCCTCGCTTGGTACTTGTTGGGAGCTTGTTAGGCGATAACTTGATTGGACGCGTTGATTGGAGCTTGCTAAGTGAGGAAGGCGAGATTTCAAGTTTTGAGCTTATTGCCTCGTCTTATTGGAGCTCGCCCTGAGCTCGCTAAGTGATATTTTTGATACTTTGAAAAGCAACTAGTGTTCCTGTTTCCACCTTAAAACGGGAGTCGTGATTCCGTTTAACGCAAGGTTGAATGTGTTAGAAAACTGATATAATACTTTATCCATTTGTGAAGGAAATCATGCATGTATCCCAATATTACTTAATGAATGACGATAGGTTGTTGTGTTTATGATATGAACTATACTATGAATTATTGTTGCATTGAATGTATACTAATTGAATTAACCTATGAAGATAACTGAGGTAAACCTAGATTGATAACTAGGGGAATGGAATTAGAAAAATGATATATGTTATGGTAAATAACTTAGGTTACAATACTCAAATGAAAGCGGTGCCTCAGTGTGAATCCATCAACCACTAGTCGCTAGAGGTGAGTCATCCCAAATAAGAGAATGACGAAGGCA